TATTGTATTTTTCACCAGTCCTGGTGTCCGTGCAAAATTATACAACTTTGTCAGTGTCCTAAAGGCCTCAAACACAGGAAACGCCAGCAGAAAAATAATAATTCCACCAATAACAATAGGTGCCTCGCACTTCGTGCTAGGACGTCGTTGGGTCCTAGCGCTCCGTGCTCGGGCCCTAATAACAAGGCATGACCGCACTGGAGAGGGGGCATGGGACCAAATGTCAGCCGCAATATGATGTGTGTTTTGAAGCTTTAATAATATATATAAGGATGATATGTCAAAGGATAATGTGAATTTGCAAAGATCTGTGCCATAAACAAATAGGAAAACTAAGTTTAAACAGAGCTTTGAACAGCTGTGATGCACTGTAGTATTACTATATCTACTTGAATGTTTAAAATATTTAACATCTACTTGGCTTTAGGCTGGTATAACAAATTAAAGCTGCATTATTTTTATGGAATATGGGAAGGGTTACTAATAAATGATCTCACAGAGGATTGTCGCTGCACTCAGATCTACGGAGGAATTGAGCGTTTTTAAATAACTATTCATGTTTTGCTTCAGACTCATGGCTCTCGTCTATTGTGACCAACACTCTATTCTATAAGAACAAACGATCATTATATAGCATGTAAAAGCACAAAGGTGTGAAAAGCCTTAGATTGGTCAATGTTGATGATCTTTTCTAATCCTGAAGGGCTAATGTTAGACAGGTCTCTCAATAAGGAGTGCTATTATTTTTTAGGAGGTGGCACTAATCGGCAAATGTAATATACAGTAGCTCTAAATATGGACCTTTATTACTCACCACTGCTCATTACTTTGTCCATCAATTAGCATGTTAGCATTTGCACTTATTTCAGCCAACATTAGCCAGAAATATCACAGGTGTGTTAGCTTCACATTCCTCAAGTCGTTTTTCAGGAAAAAAGACATCATACCGCATTACATCATTACAGACACTGTTAGGTTTTCAATCCAGAGAAAGCCTGTCATAAGCTGTCAAAGAGTGTGTGCTCGCTGATCAGAGTGGACAAAAGGAAGGCTGCGTCCTCTCATCCTCATCACTTCCCTTTCACTCCAGCTGTTGGCTCTAAAGGTCAGACTGCACCGCCCCCCCCTTACCTTAAGTACTCAGATCTTGTACTTGAGTAAAAGTAGAAGTACCAGAGTGTAGGAATACTCTGTTACAGTAAAAGTCCTGCATTCAAATGTTATTCAATTGAAAGTACAAAAGTATTATCATCAAAATATAGTTACCAGAAGTAAAAGTAGTGATTGTGCAGATTGGTCCATTTCAGAATAATATATATGATATGTTTTATAATGATTGATCATGAAAGTGTTCTCAAAGCTGGTGAAGGTGCAGCTAGTTTGAATGACTTTGTATACTGCAGGGTAGCTGGTGGATTTACTCCAGGTGGAACTAAAGTCTGATTCAACACTTGATTATATTTCACATCATTCATCCACATCTGTGAAGTAACTAAAGGGATTAAATACATGTAGTGGAGTAGAAGTACTCGGTGGGCAGAAGTTTAACCTCTTAAGCCCTGAGCCTGTTTTTCAGGCCTCATGCTCAGAACAACTGACTATATCTTGACTTCTAAAAGGGGTTAAATTAATAATCTTTTCTCTCAAAGCAATGATACACCTAAGTTGGATGTAGGAATGTCAGAATCAATATAGATGTTTTTATTTTAGATAGTGTATCTGCCGTATCTCTGGAACCCATTGGTCGATTTGGGTGATTGACACCTCTTTGTAACCGTTAGAGCCATTAGAATCGAGGGGAAGTTCCTAAATCCTTCTAAACTTTACCATTGGTGAATGAGAGTGATGCGCAGCCAGCATGCCCAAACCGGAAGCTCTCTTACACTCTATATGAAAAATACGTTTATTGACATATATGTTATGATGGATTATCAGTGCCAATTACAGAGGCATCACACTACTCAGCCTCCCCGGGAAAGTTTACTCTAAGGTACTCGAAAGGAGGGTCAGGCCGATTGTCGAACCTCAGATTGAGGAGGAACAATGCGGATTCCGTCCTGGTCGTGGAACGACGGATCAGCTTTTTACTCTCGCAAGGATCCTGGAGGGGGCCTGGGAATACGCTTATCCGGTCTACATGTGTTTTGTAGACTTGGAGAAGGCGTATGACCGAGTTCCCAGGGAGTTACTGTGGGAGGTGCTGCGGGAGTATGGGGTGAGGGGGTCTCTACTCAGGGCCATCCAATCTCTGTACTCCCAAAGCGAGAGCTGTGTCCGGGTCCTCTGCAGTAAGTCGGACCCATTTCCGGTGAGGGTTGGCCTCCGCCAGGGCTGCGCTTTGTCACCAATCCTGTTTGTAATATACATGGATCGGATTTCGAGGCGTAGTCGTGGGGGAGGGGGTCTGCAGTTCGGTGGACTAAGGATTGCACCACTGCTTTTTGCAGATGATGTGGTTCTGATGGCTTCATCGGTCTGGCGACCTTCAGCACTCACTGGATCGGTTCGCAACCGAGTGTGAAGCGGCTGGGATGAGGATCAGCACCTCCAAATCTGAGGCCATGGTTCTCAGCAGGAAACCGATGGACTGTCCACTTCAAGTAGGGAATAAGTCCTTACCCCAAGTGAAGGAGTTCAAGTATCTCGGGGTCTTGTTCTCGAGTGAGGGAACAATGGAGCGTGAGATGGGCCGGAGAATCGGAGCAGCGGGAGCGGTACTGCAGTCGCTTTACCGCACCGTTGTGACGAAAAGGGAGCTGAGCCAGAAGGCAAAGCTCTCTGTCTACCGGGCCATTTTCGTTCCTACCCTCACCTATGGTCATGAAGGATGGGTCATGACCGAAAGAACGAGATCGCGGATACAAGCGGCCGGATGGGTTTTCTCCGCAGGGTGGCTGGTGTCTCCCTTAGGGATAAGGTGAGAAGTTCGGTCATCAGGGAGGGACTCGGAGTTGAGCCGCTCCTCCTTTGCGTCGAAAGGAGCCAGTTGAGGTGGTTCGGGCACCTAGTTAGGATGCCACCTGGAACACCTCCCTAGGGAGGTGTTCCAGGCACGTCCAGCTGGGAAGAGACCAAGGGGTAGGACCTAGGACCAGGTGGAGGGATTATATCTCTTCGCTGGCCTGGGAGCGCCTTGGGATCCCCCAGTCAGAGCTGGTTGATGTCGCCAGGGAAAAGAAAGTTTGGGGCTCTCTGCTGGAACTGCTACCCCCGCGACCCGACCACGGATAAGCGGAAGAAGATGGATGGATGGATGGATTATCAGTAATCATTTCAAAATGACACAGAGACATTGGATAAACCTTCAGCAGCGTTTATATGCGTTGTAATGCCCTTGAACACAACTTTTGATCAGAAAACAGCAAAGGTAAGACGTATTTACCGTTTTGGCCCTGTAAAGTGAAGTTGTGTGTTGTCTTTCCTGGCTTTCGCTGCGGTGAGTTTTGGTTGCACAGTGATGAAACTTATACATGAAGTATAAAATATATCTACCGTGAGTTCTGTGCTAAGTAATATTGTCTGATAGCTGAGTTACTTCCCGTTAAGTGGGGTTAAGTTTTGAGGGGGCTATCGGGCTTAACCTGTTAACCTGCCGGCGGGGGCAAACACAACAATATTGCACGAAACTGTGTCTCAGGGCTTCTTAACATTTAACAACCTATTCATGTGTCATACCCACTTAACGGGAAGAAACTCAGCTAACTGACGATATGAACCATTTTTACCGAAACAAAACACTACTCTAACGCCAAGCCTCTGCACTAAGCGAAAGAGTGCTAACGCACTTAGCACATAACTCACGGTAGCGATATTTTATACTTCATGCTATCTGCACAAACTGGCAAATACGTTTATATAGAGTGTATGAGAGCTTCCGGTTTTGGGCATGCTGGCTGCGCATCACTTCCCCTCGATTCTATTGGCTCTAACGGTTACAAAGAGGTGTCAATCACCAAAATCGACCAATATGGCAAATCCACCCAAATGACCCCAGAGGTGGTTTTCTTTTTCTAAACCTCTCTAAAAAGGTAAAATGTCACTTGTTTTGCATCAATCTTCATACAGGGTACTTATTATATGTTATTGGATTCCTAAAGGTTTTTGTCTACTATCCCATCATTCAAGGGTGGTTTTCACTATAAGCAATGTTTTTTTTACTATGTTCAATCTGAATTTATTTTAAAAATTAAAAACATCTATATTAATTCTGACTTTTCTACATCCAACTCACAGGTGTATCATTGGATGGCTTGGGGCTTAACAGGTTAAGAGGATACAGTTGCACCCCCCCCCCCCCCCAAACTTCCAGTTCATATTAAGATAGTGAGAGCTGACATTAAAAACGTGTCACTGATCCCAATACCCTCCTGACACACATTTCCGTTGTGAAAATGGATTTGTAACCAGGGGTAAGGTGTTAATTCAATGTGCTCCCTCTTTCCCCTCCCAGGGTCAGGATAAGATCCATGCTCTCATCTCTAAATTCAATTGCAGGTTCTCGCCTCAAACTGTCAGGTTACAGTAGACCCCTGTGGGTTAGTTTAATGGCGGGCTATTAAAGGAATTGTGGGCTCCTCATCCTTTAAAATACCTTCTAAACCTGAGTCCGTCTTCTTAATGCTCTTAACTCAGACCCATAATGCCTTTCCTTTTATCAACTCTGATAAAAGGCTGTTCTGAGTTTTTCACTCCCAGGCACAGCCATCTTCTCATTCTTATACTTTTGCTCAGGAGTCATCATATTATGTCTGATATGTATGATCTGTGGACTGCTACTGAAAACCTTTTTATTCTACTTTTGCAGAAGAAAAACAACTGATCACAATAAATTCATGTGACTATATTTAAATATTTTCAATCATAAACAGTTAAGAAATAAAAGACTAAAATGTTGTCGCTCATGCCCATCGTGTTCTACAGTTTAAAGTCGTGGGTTCTCTCACACGTTCTTCGATCCAGTGGGGTTATCTGACTTTTGCCTGTTGTGTTCTTGAACGCAGCATGGAGGAGACGGTGCGGACGCTCCTACAGAACCAGGACTCACTGGAGGGGCCCAAAGTGGACCCGCTGGACCTGATGAAAGCCTACAAGGTACCTCCATCATCTCAGTCTGATAACACTGATGTTCATTCTGCTGTGCGTGCTCTCACCAATTAGATTGAGTCAAATTACATCCTGTCTGGAAACTGACAAAAGGTATAAATTGTCATAAAGTATATCTAATAAGGTAAAAAGTAGTTCCTACAACTCATGCAGAACGTCCCATAATCATAGCAGAATGCTTTAATTGTTATCATGATAAAACTTTTGAAACTTGAACAAAAAAATGTGAATTCTATAAATCATAGTTACTTTGTGAGTCCCCTCACTGTGTTTGTGTGTGAGCAGGTTTTTGTCCCTGATTGAACCATAAACCAAATGCAAACGAGGCTCATGATTAAAAATACTATTTAGTTTGGGTCTAAAGTTACCTATTTCCTGTCCTTTCTTGCCACCATCCATCCTCTTTTTTAATCAACGCTTTTTAATATTTGGTTTCTGCCACTCTACATTAATCATTAACTCGAAGTGCTTGCCACTACAGGCCACTAAACACATGACAACAACGTATCATCTCATACAGAGATGAGGCTCAATTTACAAGGCAGGAAAAAAGCACAACATGTAATCTCAACAATACAAAGACATGCATGTCTGTCTCATTTTCCCAAATAATGTATCAGTGTAATTAAAATGCATATATTTGTTTTGCCAATGTTGTTCTGACAAGCAGCAAAGTGAGATGAAACCTGGCTTTTTTAAACATACATTTCTGCAGTTAGAGGTTAAAATCTGAGGCCAGAGTCAGAATCAGAAATCTAAAACGACGCAGGCCATGGCTAATGTTGCATTCACATGGTACACAGATGGTCCCAATTTACAGAGGTTGGATGTCGTTCTTCCAACTTCTGTGTGGTCATGAGTAAAGACGTTGTGTTTTATTTTATGGCTCAGAGAAGTTTGCCATTTGGGGACTTAGTTTATCCGATTATTCCAACATCACATGAATGCTTCACTAATGCCAATCTTGCAATGGGAATGAGTCGATCATGCCCCATGATTCAAATCTGCAGCAGAATGTAATGGATTCTTCTGTGGCCCAGGCTCTACACTTCTCATGAAAATCAGGCAGTGCACATGTTCTCTTATGAAAATGAAGTGTCTCAAAGTGTACAATTATTTGTGCACGCTATTTTCTGAACATGTTAAACGAAATAACCTAATGCAAAGTGGTGGGGACAGAATTGTCCATTTCCAAAAGTGGTGGGGGCATCCGGCGTCCCCGGTATAAATGACTCCTATGCCTGAAGGCCACACAAAAACATTTAGGGGGTGAGTTACCTGCAGCGGTATTACAATAGCTCACTTGGTACATCGGGAATACCCAGCTGTTTGGTATGGTATATTGTTCTTATGTTTGACGTAAATCAGTGTTTTTCAGATAAAAAAATTATCCCCTGGAGAAGCGGATTCTTGTTGTTGAGCAATGAGACCGTTGATGTAGCTCGAAGCAGATGAATTAATCCCTACACCGTCCCATCACAACCTCAGCAAGCCCGCTAACACTTGGTGCTGCTGCACAAACATGAAGCTAAATAGCATGTGTGCTAGTTTTAGCTTCATCCGGACTGATCACTAAATCATAACTCAACATGCTGCAGGCTACATACACTTCACTTCACTGTCACATTACATGGGGTCATTTTTTATTCCATGTTCCCTCATTAAGTATGGCTTTATGAGTTTTTGTGTATTTTCAGGAGTGGTTTTATCTTTACTGCTAAGCCCAGTATGATGAATAATTCTGTTTGATTTCTTTGTGTTCAGGACAAACTCCTGGAGGAGATGTGGAAGCAGCAGGACAGCCTGGAGGGTCCATCCGCCCCCCCCGCAGAGAGGCCTGCTGAGTCGGAGGCCGGCGGAGGGTCGGAGGACAGCAACCCCTTGCTGCAGCGCCTCAGAGCCCTGGAGGTAAAGAGCATGGTCCAACCCCCCCCCCTCCCCCTCACTCTTTCCCATTTTCCCACCACTCCTCTTGTTCCCCATCCTTAAAATGTCACATTCATCGAGAGAACCATGTGTTTTATTAGATGTCTTTAATTAGAGACATGGAGCAATTGCCTAGCTTCGGGACAGAAAACAAGGACTGATAGAGACAGCAGTGATGACTTTATGGTCTGTTTGATCAGAATAGGTGTTTTTAAGGCTGTCAACACTAACTCTTTAACACTTGCGATTCATCTATAAACCTTAGTGTGTTAAAAGCAGAATTAAACAAATGAATCACATAACCAAGGTTGACCCCAAACTACTCCCATAAGTTCAGCGTGGATGTATACCATGAATTGCTTGGCAGTGATGCTACCTCCCTCTCCTGTGCTGTAGTCACAGCACAGGAGAGGGAGGTAGCATCAACCATACTAACATACTTTAAACATGTAATCCGTTACAATAACTAGTTACATGTCAAATGAATAATCCAATCACAATGTATTAGCAAAAATGTGTGGCTTAGAAAGAAATGCTCATATTTCATCAACAATGTATCCACTGAGCACAGATTTTGATGGATAGGTTAAGTCTGTCTTGGGGAATAGGCACACCAAAGCATTTTCATTTGGACTATAGGGGGGGCCAAAAACACCACACATTTATAACTCAAGAACGGATGGACGAAATAATTAATTTTTTTAATAGACATACTCTGGGGTCAATATGAACTGAGATGTAAAGTGTCGCAACGAATGACAAATGTGGGCGTGGCCTACACCAGGTTTTTTATTTCCATGAGTTAGAATGAGCTACGGACGCAACATTTGGGAGTTAAAATGAGCTACGGATGCACAACCTTTTAGAGAACGTACAAATAAATCGTATTTGTTCGTTAAAACAGCTCAGTAGCGCCCCTTATTGTGTGGTAGTCGCATATAGTTTCTCCGATCTTCACGAATCTTGGCACAGACATTCCTCATGGAATTGTGGACATATTTCCAATTGGTTTCCATTAGCCCCGCCCCCCAGGAAGTCGGCCGTCTTGTAAAATGTGCGTTTTTCATGCATTTTAAGCACTTCTTTGATAACTCCACTTAGGGAAATTATCGGAAAAATTCCAAACCCGGACAAGTTAAGCACATATCCAATGCGATGCTACATTGCAATGGATTAGTCGTTCGCTCGAACGGGGAGCTCGTAGGCTAAGGGAGAATGTACCATTGTTGACGATTTATTTTTGACAAGTTACTCCAAACAACTCTCATATAGTTTGTCCGATATTCACGAAACGCTGTATACACATTGCTGTTATGATTGCATATTTAACAATGGCTTTCATTAGCCCCGACCACCCAGCAGGGTTTCCGTTAGCCGGTAACTACCGGTTTCTAGCTGGTAAAATGTATTCAAAACCGGTAAATTCAAAACCTAGCAGGTACAAAACTAAAGAGGGGCTTCCAAATCCGGCAGCACCAACACCTGATCTGCCGGATTTGGAAGCCCCTCTTTAGTTTTTCACCTGCAGGGCCCAGAGTAAAATGTTTTGGTGAGCACAAACTAGAGGGGAACAGCAAGCACCAGTGTGATTTTGGTGAGTCTGTGACTATCCTGGAGAAAGATATAGGGGGGGTTCCAAATCCGGCAGGAGAAATACCTGCTCTGAACATGTTATGTAGAGAACAGTGCAGATCTTCCCTATTGACACCAGGATGAACCTAGTCTAGAATAAGGAACATTAATAGTGTGATAGAAAATGAAATGTAATGTAATAGAGGCACATATATAAGATCAATAATACACTTTATTTTAGGGCACCTTTCAAAGCATTCAATGTCACTTTAAAATACAATTTTAAAAAAATAGTGGCATTACAATGCAAACATGTGTTGAGTAGGAATATATAAAAATGATATTCAAAGGAGCAATTCAAGTGAGTGAAGCCAGTTTGAACACATTATCTTGTAGGCTTGATTGAAAATAACACAGTGTCTGACATGATCATGTGATATCATTACTGTCATATAATTGCTTACTATTCGTGGTTATCAGACACTTAAACAACAGAGAAGGTTTTAAGAAATAGGACTATACTGACAAATCACATATTAACCTGTCATTGTCTGTTCTGTAGGAAGGAGGAATATAACAGTACGTTTATTCCGATACGAAGATTGTGACAGATCTGAAAAACGTGTCCTTAAAATGAGCCTCCTCGCAATTGTATGCACATTATTTATTCAGCCGTTTGTTGTTTAATCTGATATATCATTCAAAAGAGAGAAAAAAGCTTAGAAAAGGGTGAAAAAAGCTTAGAAAACGGCGAACGCTCAATACAGGCGATGACGTCAACTTTGCGCGTCCCCGCGAACAGGGCTTGGCAAGGCTTCAACCTACGGCACAACACCGGCTTCAAGTTGTGTTTCCTGGATGAGCTGAGCAGGCAGAGTCCCTGTAGCTTCACGGAGCTGCTAGCAGAGAGACAAGAAGCTAGCAGCAGCAGTCACTTGACAGAGCCGTCACTCAATGTGACCACGTCCTAATTTATGCAACAACTTTAAGACCTAATATAAATAAATGGGTCGTGTTAGAAAACAATTCACTCACAGATCCATAATCATGAAGGTGGAACCTAACTATATTCATAATAATATTTATTGCATCCATGGGTAGAAACATGTTTTTTTCTGCTGTAAAGTTGGGCATTTTAACATGGGGGTCTATGGAAATTGCTCCTTTCTGCAGCCAGTCCCTATCGGCCAATATATGAACTGCAGGGTGTGGCACTTCCGTATTGGCGTCCCGGCTCTTCCCCAGAGTTTGCCGCTTGATCGTAACACCATTTTTAACGAGATTTTATTGTAGATTATACATTTGACTGATACCAACTATATAATATTTACCTTGTTCATTCAAAATAAAAAAAATATTTATTTGTTTAAATTTTTTTTTTAATGTATTTTAAATGTTTAATGACAATCAAACATGTGGGAAGAGGGGGGGCGGCTCCCCTATGGGCCGGCCGCCACTGCTTGTTGATAAGCTTGGGATATGAGATCTTTTTGTAGCCATTCGTGGTGAAGGCATCTGTGCTATTGTATGCATTATTTTTGACCCAACATTTCTACAGGCATGGCAGAATATGGCACTATTTTCACATGAATATTCCATTGTCTATTTTTATACCACGAGCTGCAAGATGACCGCCTAACCCCACTGTACAGGCGGGTACTTGTTTAGATATACCTGGGCAGGCTCTGTTTTGCCTTGGTATCCTGGCACCTGCGGGCCGCAGAGGGGCGGCGTAGTTTTGGGCGACGAAGACTGCTGCTCCGGGGGCGAGGGCGGAGTCAGGCGGGAGTGTCCACAACGGAGGGTCACGTGATGTCCCCATCTGACCTGTTGCTACTGTCTGCAGTAGATGCAGTGTTGCTGGCGTTTAGTGATGGTTGCTTTAACCATGTTCGTATAAATGATTATCCACAGATGTGTGTCACTGCTGTGGAAGCACTTTGGAAATGATGCACGTGCAGCGGAGCAGGTCACGCGCACCTGACACAATTTGTTGTTTGTATTTTTCGCTCCGTTCTCTTTTTTGAATAGAGGGTGCATAACATTCAACTGCCCCGAAGATCCCGACGCGAAGCCTGAACGGTAAACACCAGGTTTACTAATCTACCCGCACAATTTGTCTGGTGTCGGAATGTCTCGCTATGTTAGTACATTCTTAAAAAACATTTCGGTTAAAATGTGTTGTAACTGCGTTACTGAGCATTGTAACGGGTAATATATTACCCACATTTCATTAGTAATGCGTTACATTACTTCGTTACAGCAAAAAGTAATATATTTACTTTTGTAACGCGTTACACCCAACACTGGTGAGAAATGAATTTAACTTCTGTTAGACAGCTATATGCCATACATTTTTGCATACATTCACAGTAAATATGTATTCAGTATGATAGCTGTCTAACAGAAGTTAAATTCATTTATCACTTATTCTGACAATGTACTTAACCCCAAATAAAATAACTCAATACATAGAGTTGTTAAATAATAGTGAAGTCACGTTGTAATAACAATAACTCATCTCTCTCAAGTTTTCTTTTGAGATTTGCCAAAAGCCACTGTGTCAAGTATCCTTCTTGGGTTGTGTAGAAGCAAACACAATAGTGGTGGCTTAAAGCCCACTTCTGCTCCGCGCCGTCCGTTGGATGAGCCTGGTCAGATTAATAAAAGAAGGAGTTCAAAACACCGGCATAAAAGCTATAACAATAATCTGATTTTAATGGTAAAAAACACAATACGAAATACAGAGTGCCCTGTAACAGAGCACTCCGGGCTCCCCGCTCTACTGCCGTGCGATACAGATATCGGGACCAGCCAGTCAGAAACAGGGGGTATTTTGCATGAATAAACAACAGTATATATGGACATATTTGGGGCGGAGAGTCACTTCACTTCCTTCTTGCACCTGAGTTCACTCCTTTAATTTCCCAAGGAAGATTTCACACAAACTATTCCTTCCCAAACAATCAAACATTGTACACAGATATATTGGTGCTTGAGATTATATTGGCCCCAGAAAGAACCTTGAAAAGATTGATTGATTGAAACGTTTATTAACAGCTTGTATATTGGGTACAGTACAGTACAGCTCAAAACATACAATTGTTAAGGGGATGCAGACCAGAGAAAGACTTTCGTCTTGTTTACATCAGGGTCCCCCATTTCCAATTCATCATGTCATTTAAGACATATAAGACATATTGGACATACAGATGGCTTATTTACAATTTACATACAGGTGGTTTTTTACATACAGATTGCTTGTTTACAATTTTCATTTTAGATTTCGTTCTATTACATCCTAACCGGACATTTAAGACATACCAAGTCTACAGATATACAGTTAGTAACAGAGTCTAAAATGTGAGTATATACATAGATGGGGGGGGGGGAAGCTGTCCATTGAACGA